TATCAACACTTTTTAAAAGTCTCATTAGCAGATACCAGCTGGGTCATAGCTTTGCTATCTAATTACTGTTTTTTATAAAATTGTAATTGTTAACACAGTATGAAACTAAAATAAATGTACAAGTCAATACCATGATAAAATGTTGTCACTTTCGAATGCCATTGAAGGTCAACTAAAAGTCAAATCTAGTCAGAATTGAACTTTTGAAAACTTTTAGAAAGAAAAATTTGGTCAATTTGAAGCAAGTTGAAAAATACCCTTTCGACCATTTTTAACCTTGAGAAGGTCATTAGAGGTCATAACTCAAATCTAGTCAGATTTGAACTTCTGAGAACTTGTAGATGATTTCAAATATTTTGAAGTCAGTCTAAACAGTATTTGTTAAGTTATTGGAAGTTGTAAGAATGTGTTACAAAAGAAAGAACAGGTCCATTTAACAGACTATTGGTCCACTTAGACTTTTTCTGAAAAACTCATTCTTCCATTTACTTTTAAAACCGATTGCAAGTTGTAGATAAACCTTTCTTCTTGAGATGTGCAATTTCAAAAAGTGGCATAAGTTCTCCGTTTCTTTGAAAAATTGGCAGTAAGAACCCCTATCACAAGGCTGTCTGAATATGGGTACACATAATGTTTACCATCAAAATAATATCAAATCTTATCATAATATAGAATTTAATATATGGAACATATGGTATACAAGTATTCGGAGAAGAAAATTGACAAAATCTAGCGATGTATGTAGTTTACCTATGCAAATCTAGAAAACATTGTCATTTTTCGTTCACTTTGTTATCAAGTTTTAGCATGGTGCTCATTCCCTTTCATTGAAAAGTTAACCGTCAGCCCACACTCCCACAAAAAATATATTGAAACTGTATAATGCAGAGACTGTAAAGTAGCTTCTCTGCAAATATCATTTTTGTGGGAGTTTGGGCTCACCACTAAAACTTAACTTTTGTGATGAAAATAAGCCTGACTGGTTTATGTTTTCAATATGGCTGCTAACCTGGGCATACATGTACACTACATAACTGCATGTACAGATTAGGCCATCCAAAATTGATTATATGTTGGCATTCTGATGAAGAGCCTTATACTAAAAACTATTATTATATAAACTATATTTAAAGGGTTTTGTATATTATTTAAGAGTGAAAATGCAATAACACATTGTGCCAAAGCAAGTAACACACCTCTTGAGTTGAGATGACCTTGTTAATGAAGTTTATATACATGTAGAGAGTAGAGAGTACAAGTAGAGAGTACATGGGGACATTTTGTTTTTTCTGAAAACATAGAATTTAGTGACTTTATTATAAGAAAATCTTTGAATGGCCTAAGTTTTTTTCTAAATAGGGAATTAGTAGAAATTATTTTAGGCAATCCTTTGAGTGTCATGCCATTCATAATTGATGCTGCCTTATATTTTATGATATATATTGAGAGAGGATTTCTCTGAATTATTTGTGTTTCAAATATGGGAACCGAAAATCGGCAAATAACTTTAAAAGTAAGTGTACATTCAAACATTTTAATTTCAAATGCCAAATAAAATGCCAAAGGGCATTTGTTAAAAGTGACCCTATAACTATTTAGAATAGGGCAAATCTGTTTAGAAAACTGGCGAGAAGCAATAGAAATTAGAAACTTCATTATTTTTGAATTGCCCTTGTGTGCATTTAATTTCAGTCATTTTATCCTAATTGCCCATGGGCATTTAAAATAATAATCACATCCCAACTCTTAAAACATGCTTAGGATACTGTTAAGAGTCTCAATAGGCAACGAGAATATTCATTTTTGAAACAAAAAATTTATTCCCCCTCAAAATGCCCATATTGGTATTTATTCTCAAGATTTTCAGGTAATTGCCCGTGATAATTTATTTAAAAATTTTTTTATTTCTATTCACATGTCTTTTTATCAGTCACAATCAAAATAAAGCCAATTGCTCTCATTTCTTGGATTAGAAACAGTAAAATTTTGACAAAAATAGCAACTCTCAAAGTTGACCTTTTAACCACCCTAGTGTCAAGGTCAAATGTCAAAACTCTCAGAAATCACATTTTAAGTAATGAGTCATACTTCCTCTTCAATTCCATGTCAATATATACTTGTTTTGTAGGGGGGCTAAAAGAGGGGTTTACCGCCACCTGTCCTTTGTTACAGACACCCACCGCCATTCACCAAAAATTGGAACAATATGTCACCTTAGTGGCTTAGTGGTGACACAATAAGTATGAGTAACTAACTATAAAGTGGAAAACGAAATGAAAAACAAGACAAAACAGAATGTTTATGTTTTACACCTTTCCATGTCTATTCCTTTATACATAGATACAATGTGTGAAATATGATGCAATATTTACAAATATGGCTGACAGGATGATGTCATATTCTACTGAAATTTCCGAGGATAAAATGTCAGGCAGGAACAAGTGTTCATGATGAAGCAAAACAGGATGAAAAAGTATGGAATTATTGAGTAAAATCAAAGGAAACAGACATTTTATACTTTATACTTGTAATTGTGTGAAAACACAGAAAGCCAGTCATTTCATTAGAATAGTACAAGTGTGTGAAATAAATAAGACTGAAGAAACACTTTAACCTCAGAAATGTATAATAACAAATATGACATCTGGAAATATATTTTATATCATACAGTTTTGCTACTGGCTAATGATTGAGGGATTAAATTAGTCTCAAATGAATACTATTTATCTGATTACAGAGAAAGTAACAGATTGAAGCTCAGTTGAAAATGCATGAAGTTCAAAATCAACATCAAACCATGTTTTAATGGTTATCTTATTATTATTAATTACAAAAGTGATAGCACTTCGCAATATATTGATGATATGTGCTATCTACGAAACATAATTTTACCTCATTTTTAATTGCATTAGATCACAGAATGCCAACAATTCCCAGCATGCTTCAATTAAGTGCTGTTGCATGCTGTGAGTACAACTACCTTCTTTGTCATAATTTGCTTGATATAAAATGCTATTTCAATACTGCAACCTCATTAAAAAGATCAATCAATACACATAAACAATAATACATTAAGCTTTAAATGAAGTGCAGTAAATGTACTGTAATACATCTTAAAGCATACTGAAGTACATCTTAAAGTGTACTTTAGTACATCTCAACAAAATGTTCTTAGTTTCTGTACAGATATGATTTCCACTATTCTTTCAAACAGTGTGATTTTGCTTCTTATGGCCTAGTCACATAGCCCGGCCGATGAGGTTCCGATGAGCCAGCGATGCAATTTTCACCGAACTCGGCCGAACACCGGCCGGACATCCATGGCGTTTGTTGCTTAAAACCGCATCGGTGGCAGCTCGGTGAAATTTTAACTTCGGAGTTAAATTTCACCGGGCTCTCACCGAGCTCCCTCATCGCAGCCCCATCGTAACCACATCAGAACACACGTTGGCCGGTGCGAGGCCGAGTATCGGTCGGTGTCCCGTGCATCTGAGACAACCAGAGGACGAGGTTTTTTTAACGGACACCGGCCGAGCTCCGACAGAGCTCTGGCCGATGTGGGACAGAGCCTTGGAAAGTATAGTACCTGAAGATGTCCGGACGGAGTCCGTTCACGTCACCGAGCTCTGCTTCCGATGAGGAGAGCTCGGTGGCACCAAAAAAATCCACCGAGCTCTACCGATGCCGGACATCGGCCGGGCTATGTGACTAGGCCATAAAAAGAGAGCTTCATCTACATACTGAATTCTTTCATTTAGCAAAGTCATACAATTTTATACATCATAGGTGTCTGCATTTATTTCATAGTCTATCTTGTGATCATTATATTCTAAATGTCAAAACTGTATACTTATTTGAATTAGCCTTCAGGCCTCTTTCATAAACCGCTACATTTTCTTGTTAGGGCATTAGTTCTCTCTAAAGGGGCAAGTCAAGTTGAACTACCATGGAGTACATATTTTACAAGGATTTATCTCAAGGCCATAGATGGATATTTCAATTTCTAGCATTCTCAAAAGATTGCAGTTCTGCTAGATAGTTCCAAACTAGAAACTATACTAGGCCAACAATATGGCTCCACATTATGTGGTAGGGACATAGAAAGTGTAAATTAGGGAGGCTAATATTAGATAGCTGTTACTACATTAAACTTAAAAGGTATACAAACATATATGAACACGTACATATATGGAGACCTGAGATCTGATTGGTGGAGCCATATAAGGAGACCCGTGAGCCGATTGGTGGAGTAGAATGAAGTTCTACCCCTCAACCAATCAGATCTCAGATATTAAACTCAATATTACATTATTCAATACTTATCCATTTTACAAATATTATAATGGAAACCATAAAATCTAACTATCCATTTGAGTAAAATGTTTGACATTTTTTGCTTAATTAAACCTTTATGTCAACTACCCTTATTTAGAATTTTCTTGATCACTTCATTTGCAGGTGGCAGTGTCACAGTCCATTTTTACAAGATATTCCCTGTGAAACAAGCAATTCACTTAAAAATGCTTTTTTTAAAACTACCAAAGCAGCTCCCAGATCAACATATTTATTTTCTCTTGTCGAGTATTTGGTTTGCTTAGAACTTTATTTACATTGTATTTTATCAGGTGGTTCTCACTGAATAAATCTTCAAGAATATTTCAAAAATTCACTCGTAAATAACGTGTTGCACTTGGCTACTTGTTTGTTATGAAGCAGACAGCTTTTAACATGTAGCACCATCAGAGGAGGTCTGCTACTCCCATCATGCAACAATTTGCAGCATCAGAGGAGGAATAATGTTTCCATAATGCATTTTCAAGTTTTATCAACCACCAGCAGTTAATAAATTCCCAAAGACAAAGAAATAAACTTTTAATAATAAAATTTAAAAAAAACTTAACATTTGCCTACTTTCTAATATCTTCATTTTCCAAGACTATCCTTCATTATACCATTATACATAACATCTAACAATAAAGAACCTCCATTTCAAATGCCAATCTTATCATACCTAAACCATTAGATTTCTGGAACTAAGGCGGCTGATATTTTATTTGTAAACAATCCAGAGTATCAATAACATGCCTTTGTATTTAATTCCTCACTAATTCCACTCTTATTTTGTAGATAACCATGACATTTTACTTATATGGGCATAAACAATAAATACTTTGTTGAAATAATGGAATATAAAACAGGTGTGAGATTTCTATATGCACTTTTAGTGTCATTTATCTCCAATAGATGGAATGAGCGTTCTTTACCAACTTGTTCCAGAGCAGTTGGTCGGCAAGGTGTAGCGTCAGATGATGTCTGTTATTCCCATCATGCAAGATCCAACAATTCTTGACATCTAATAATGTTCAAGAACATTCAATTCATGATCACATTTCAATCCTGCGACATCCATCATGAGACACACTTTTGTCTCAAAGACACCCCTGTCATGATGACACGGACACATTTGATCATCCCACAGATTCCCATTACCAAATCCCTCGTTTTAATTTGAGTTCTTCTGTTCTACGATAGCACCACATGCTAGTCAATCTTCACAGTCGAGTAAATTTTTCGTACAAAAGAGTTTGTTCCGATATATCCCATAGTACCTGGAAAATAAAAATGCATATATGAATGATGCAGAAATATTTGTCATACATCATAGGTGCATAGATATTTACATTAAAACCCTTAAGTATTTAACAATTCAAAGCAATCATATATTAAACTAGAGTAGTGAATGCAACTCACCACACATGATTCCAAGGCCCATACTAAACATACCCATGTAGCCAAAATAAAACATAGTTTGAAAGAATCCATACATTCTGGAAAACAAACAAGAATATAGATATAGTTTTACTGATCACTTTTGAACAAGGCATAAACAATATATCTAAAGGAGAGGGGGTTGTTTGTAAAATGAATTCGCTTATTTTTATCAAGTTATACAGTCATTACAAGTTAAACAGTCATTACAAGTTATACAGTCAGTACAAGTTATAGTCAGTGCATGTTATACAGTCAGTACAAGTTATACACTCAGTACATATTATACAGTCAGTATAAGTTATACAGTCAGTATAAGTCATACAGTCATTACAAGTTATACAGTCAGTATAAGTTATACAGTCATTACAAGATATACTGTCATTACAAGATATAGAGTCATTACAAGATATACAGTCAGTATAAGCTATACAGTGCTTGCAAGTTATACAGTCAGTACAAGTTATTCAGTCAGTACATGTATACAATCAGTATAAATTATACAGTCATTACAAGATATACAGCCATTACAAGATATACAGTCAGTATAAGTTATACAGTCATTACAAGATATACAGTCAGTGGGATTGGGGAATACTCAGACACAAGTGTTAACTTTCACATATACTTATAATTGTGTACTTACTTAGTTTTAAAGAAGAAATAGTAGAATGAATACATATAGACGTAGGCAGCTGTGGAGGCTGCCGCTAAGAAGCTGGTCCATTGCCTGAAACATAAGACAAAATAGTAGAATGAATACATGAAAACAAAGGCAGCTGTGAAGATATGAATCTGGACCATTGCCTGTGTTAGAATGAGTTGTCTTGGGGAACGGTTGACCAGTTACCCTACATTTTATGACTTGTACTAGTGGAATAACGTCATAGAAATAGTAGATCTTTACTTACCATCTGTAATCCTCTGCATTGAGTAAGAAGTAAGTGCAGACAATGGTGACACATATTGTAACAACCAGTAATATGACTAGAACCAGCAGCATGAAGCCGTACACATAGTAGATCTTGTACGCCCAGAATGAAGTGAATATAAAGTACCTGCAAAAATAACCAGAATAATTAACAACTGGATTAGACAAATGTACTTTAAGATTCATGATTGACAAAAACTAGCAAAATACTACACCAGGACGTCCAATTAGCCTTCCAATAAAAACTGAATTTTAGAATCATGGGTATTATAATACTTTATTTACATACAATTTATATCAAATTGGTCAGTAATTTAAAGGGACAACAACTGTTACTAATAAAGTTACAGCCATTTCTGTCTCAAGGCACAAGTGGCAAAACACAAAACAGTAGGCAGATAAAACAAGGTTTACTTACATTTCTATGAATATTGATCCAAAGGGCAGGATTCCACCCAATAACACTATAACAGCTGGCTCCATGAACCTACAACAACAGAACGACATAATTATACAACAATATTGTACTGTACACAAATCATGGCTCCATGAACCTACAACAACAGAACGACATAATTATACAACAATATTGTACTGTACACGAATCATGGCTCAGCGCTTGCATTAGGTTAGAAAATTTGTGAGTCCCAAGGACGCAATTTTTTTAAAAAAGTGTGTCCTTTGAAAAAAAGCGTGTCCCCTATTTCTAGCCTGTTTTGAGGTAAAACTTTATTTTAAAAGCATTTTTTACCAAAACACCTTTCAGTTTTTGATTTCTTGCCGCGAATTTAAAACGGAAGTAAACGTTAAGTACGGACTGAATAAATGCATGTTCGTTCATTCGACAATGAATACATTTTATTTCATGAATAGCCTAATATTTGTTTCTGAATAGGAAAACTGTGGCGTGTCATGATTTCAAATCTAAAAATAAACAAAGTCGAAAAAATTCGAGAGAATCATGATTATTTGTAAATGTTCAACATATTGAGCCTTATTTACGATTCAAATAAAGGTGAGAGATCATAATTATTTGTTTTTGTTAGGTATTGTTGTAAACACATTGTAGTATTGACCTAAAAAAAATTTGCGTCCAAAAAATGGAAATATTTTCAATTTTTGCGTCCTCCAAATTATTTTTGAGTCCTTAACATGTACGAGACGCCGTTAATGCAAGCCCTGATGGCTCCATGAACCTACAACAGAACAACATAATTATACAACAATATTGTACTGTACACAAATCATGGCTCCATGAACCTATAACAGAACGACATAATTATACAACAACAATATTGTACTGTACACAAATCATGGCTCCATGAACCTACAACAGAACGACATAATTATACAACAATATTGTACTGTACACAAATCATGGCTCCATGAACCTACAACAGAACGACATAATTATACAACAATATTGTACTGTACACAAATCATGGCTCCATGAACCTACAACAACAGAACAACATAATTATACAACAATATTGTACTGTACACAAATCATGGCTCCATGAACCTACAACAGAACGACATAATTATACAACAATATTGTACTGTACACAAATCATGGCTCCATGAACCTATAACAGAACGACATAATTATACAACAATATTGTACTGTACACAAATCATGGCTCCATGAACCTATAACAGAACGACATAATTATACAACAATATTGTACTGTACACAAATCATGGCTCCATGAACCTACAACAGAACGACATAATTATACAACAATATTGTACTGTACACGAATCATGGCTCAGCGCTTGCATTAGGTTAGAAAATTTGTGAGTCCCAAGGACGCAATTTTTTTTAAAAAGTGTGTCCTTTGAAAAAAAGCGTGTCCCCTATTTCTAGCCTGTTTTGAGGTATAACTTTATTTTAAAAGCATTTTTTACCAAAACACCTTTCAGTTTTTGATTTCTTGCCGCGAATTTAAAACGGAAGTAAACGTTAAGTACGGACTGAATAAATGCATGTTCGTTCATTCGACAATGAATACATTTTATTTCATGAATAGCCTAATATTTGTTTCTGAATAGGAAAACTGTGGCGTGTCATGATTTCAAATCTAAAAATAAACAAAGTCGAAAAAATTCGAGAGAATCATGATTATTTGTAAATGTTCAACATATTGAGCCTTATTTACGGTTCAAATAAAGGTGAGAGATCATAATTATTTGTTTTTGTTAGGTATCGTTGTAAACACATTGTAGTATTGACCTAAAAAAAATTTGCGTCCAAAAAACGGAAATATTTTCAATTTTTGCGTCCTCCAAATTATTTTTGAGTCCTTAACATGTACGAGACGCCGTTAATGCAAGCCCTGATGGCTCCATGAACCTATAACAGAACAACATAATTATACAACAATATTGTACTGTACACAAATCATGGCTCCATGAACCTACAACAGAACGACATAAATATACAACAATATTGTACTGTACACAAATCATGGCTCCATGAACCTACAACAGAACGACATAATTATACAACAATATTGTACTGTACACAAATCATGGCTCCATGAACCTACAACAGAACGACATAATTATACAACAATATTGTACTGTACACAAATCATGGCTCCATGAACCTACAACAGAACGACATAAATATACAACAATATTGTACTGTACACAAATCATGGCTCCATGAACCTACAACAGAACGACATAATTATACAACAATATTGTACTGTACACAAATCATGGCTCCATGAACCTACAACAGAACGACATAAATATACAACAATATTGTACTGTACACGAATCATGGCTCCATGAACCTACAACAGAACGACATAATTATACAACAATATTGTACTGTACACGAATCATGGCTCCATGAACCTACAACAGAACGACATAAATATACAACAATATTGTACTGTACACAAATCATGGCTCCATGAACCTACAACAGAACGACATAATTATACAACAATATTGTGCTGTACACAAATCATGCTACTCCTTTTATTGTAACCATTAGTATTAAATTAAATTGTAGGCAATTAAAATGGACTATACGTATATCCAAATGTTAACATTGTTAACAAGTGCACATTTCATTTATGTATCTCACTGAAAACATTTCATTCTATGTGTGCATCAAAGCTTTGTCCAAGATAAGGCTGAGAACTTACCATTTTTTTTCAGGGATAGGTCGAGGGACTGCATTGATTCGACAAGGATAGTTGGGTTGCCCAGCCAGATTACGACCCAATACAGTGCCAACCAGTGTCAAAGGTAGAATGACGAACAGACATATACACGTCACAGCAACCTGTAAACAAAGTCATGTTTACATCACTGCTTTTTAGGTATGTTCTAATAATACAACAGATATGGTATCCAAGTTCCAACACTACTAATAGGATACCCAACAGTAGTCCATTCTTTCTATGAAGCCATGTGTTTCCTAAATATAAAAACACTCACCATGGTTCCCAATGGGATTGCTCTTGAAGTGTGGTAACTAATCGCAATAAAATTGATGAAGAATGCTGTGCCACAAACGATAAATGGGATCAAAGAGGCGCTGATGACCATCTGCTTGATCCAAAGCTTGCCACCCATTCGGGAATACAAACTGCCACCAAAGTAGCCGTTTACAGGGGATGTAGCTGCATAAACAAAGATAGCTGTGCTCAACAGGGAACCACGCCTGAAAGTGAATAAAGCACATAACCATTAGGGGAACATCATGAAATATGGACCAGTTATCATGTCATCATGCCTAAATCAAGCTGATTCAGATGGAAAGAAACCGTCTCCATGCTTCCTCCAGTGATTATATCTATATCTATAAAATTACAATTTTAGTGCAGTGTAGCCAGTGCAAGGATTTATTTTAATCAATTTCAACTAATAATAATTCCAGAACTTAATTAATGCTCATAGTATAAATAAATGCTACATTAAATTAAACTTATAAATTTCACTTACTCTGTGTAAAGCTCGCCCAAGATAGCAAACATAATAACAGCCAAGGATACAAAGCATATCTGATATCCTGTCCCCACTAGGGAGGAGAATAACAATGGATTAGTAGCTGGTCGGAACACATCTCCATGAATCTGTTTCCAACCATACTCATCTCCTAAATCTCGTTCCTGGAAATATTGCAAATGATTGCATCAATTTTAGATAAGGGAAATGTAGAAGTACACATTTTTTCATATTACTACAGTTATTCCTAACAGATCAATCAAATGTATATCCATTATGATAAATGTATCAATTGTATCCATTTTAAGATACATGTATGATATGGATATATACTGCCAAATGAACTTGGCTCCAAAAAGGTGCACATTCACTTAGTGACACAGTATTTCTCTCTAACATTGAAATGTTGGTTACAACAGAGATGTAAAATTTACAAAGTCAACCTGTGGAAAGGTCAACAGTAATGTACCTACCATATCATCGAGGTCATCATCTTTGCTGTATCTTGCATAGTCCTTCCTCAGAGTTCTCATAAGAATCATACTGACGAGACCAACCAGGAAGATGACCATCATAAACGAGTTGAAGATTGAGAACCAATGAATCTGAAAGGTAAAATTTGTTCATAAATATACATCCTGATGTAAAGAGAGGGGAATTAATCAATAATTTCACATAAATATCACACTATGATTTCAGTTATTTTTCATTTCATGTATCTTTTCATCTTGTTGTTCAATTTTTCAAAATTTCACTCACTTATGATTTGCGGACTTTTCGAAGAACTTTAATTCTCAACCATTTTTAATCTATTATGTAAAAACTAAAAAATTCTCTCTCATCCATTTTAGTTTCCCTTTTCCCTGACCCTGGCAACCTTGAGTAACAATAAGAAATGAACCCTTTCAGTAAGCAGCACTTACTTACAATGAACAGTTTTGGCAAATATGGGGGGTCTATATACACCAGTTTTACTTTAGCATACTTACTCTGTGTTGGAAGAAGTTTGGATCTAGGTATTTATCAAATCTGTCATGGAATATAACACCAGATTTATGCCAGACAACCTGTAAACAACAGATATGTTTGAAATATATGATTATATACTGTATGAAGTTCAATTATTAATATATACTAATAAAAATACATTCATTTTCATGTTTAGAAAGGAATCATTATCAACTTGAAATTTGTTGAAATTACATTAAATCTAAATGTTTAAATAATGGCCAAATATTATGAAGTTACAGCACATCTAATACCGAGTGGGGGTACCACAGAGCATTTGTTATTTTTTTTATATGTTGCCTAGGTGATCCTCTTTGTTGTATCATGCATTTTTGCTGTGCCTATGCTTAAATTGATATTATTATAGCCAAGTCCCATTATTGTACCTACCTCATATGTAAAGGCTATTTTAGTATTGGGAGCCAACTTCACTTTAGCTTCACTTGTAAGGTTAACATCTACGATCTGGTCGCCATTGTAGCCAATGTCAAACTTCTTGTGGGTCCACAGATAATAGCCATCTCCATCCTCTTCAATTTCTCCCACAATGCCTGAAATACAAAGAGAGGTAAGGTGTTATTCTTTCCTAGTGCCATATAAGAAAAACTACCATTTCATTCGAAAGAATGCTGGCACTGGATTTGGGCTGAGAATTGTTTTTATTTTTTCCACAAATAAACAAATGTATGTTGCACTATTCTGATACTGATAGCATCTCTCTCTGTTGCATCAAAGGTCCAGATGGGCAGAGATGGAAAGGGTGTGGCTTACAAAAATGATGTTTCACATTCATTTATAGGTTTTCAACCTAGCGTTGCTTGGGTTTCACCCAGTCTAAAACCAGTGAAAGAACTGATCAATGACCAGATTTGAACAAAGATTAGAGGAATAACTACCACCCTTTTCTTGAAATAAATCAGATGGAGGTTGGGGACTAATCATTGGATTCTTCAAGGCATATTAATGAATCTAAATATAGATCATTTTGAAGAGTCGACTGCAAACAATAAGTGCCATCTATTGTTGAATTGGGTGAAACGCCCCAAATGGAATTTACTCAAGGGAATTTTTCATACCTATGCAATATGTATTTAATTAAAATACGTTAATAAGCTTTATTAGTTTGAATATCAATCGAATCTGCTCTTATCACATTTTGAAAAAGATTCACCTGCTACAAATACAATCACCCAATTAGCAACTTTTACAATATTATTGATTGCTAATAACAGAAGTCAATATTAATGATAAATGCCTACAAGTAAAACTCTTTGATCGAAATAACGGATAGAATCTAAATAATAAAGTAATACACGACTGTTTGAACTTAAGGATACAATTACACTTAAATGATAGAATGCTTTAATTTGTAGATATCTATCTACCAACCAATTCCCTTGCATAAATTCTGGACATCAATATTTTGATTGTAATCTATTGAACTATTTTATCTCTCAAATTTTAACAGATAGCCAATATAGAGAGCATTAAAAATCCAAATAAGTACTAATCCAGTATAGCCTCTATAGACATAGTTATGATGCCACCTGGGAAACTCATGGTTCATGAGGTCTGAGAGTATTAAGTTCTGGTGTTCGGTCAATTTCAATTTCCCAAAGAAACAGCAGATATCAAAAATCATTTGTAAATTGTGAAATAAAACTGATGTTTCTCACATACCGTATATTATAATATTGGAAAATACAGGATTCATAATATGCAGGTTAGAGGTCTCAACACCTACTTGTGATATGCGCATCATATGCAAACTGTGTGGTAGAACTAAATGTCATTGACATTCTAATTAATTGTGAATAGAAATGTATGTTCACTTTGCTCTTATATTCCTATTAGATTAAACTTTGAGAAAACATCATTGCAGAAATGCTCCAGAAATTAATAACAAAACAGGACTGCATTTCCGGATATTTGTAATGTAACTTGTTCAGGAACTAAAAGAACCACAATCAACAATTACACTTTTATAAATATATTTTGGATTGTTTGTAGTTACCATTTGGCTATAAAATGTATGGCCTTTGTATCTTGATGCTCTCTGACCCATTAATTGACCTCAAAATCAATATAGCATTTACACTCAATATTACAAGAGATAATAATAGCTTTACATTTAAATATATTCTGAAAATCTGCTTACCCCAGATTGGCAAGTCATCTATGTACATCTGATACCAGTAATGATTCTTAACTGCATATACAAAGGCCTGGTACTTCTCCTCAGAGAGCATCACCTCGCAGTATTGCGTCTTACTTTTTACATCAGCTAGAAAACAACAACAAGTAGTTAATGGAAGCAAAACAGGATGAAAACAAGATTACAGAAAATAAATATGTGTAACAGGCAGACAGTTAAGTTTTGAAATACAGGTGTGATATGTTACTCCAGAAGTGTCTCATCCTCCGATCACAGGGCTTCAAAATCCAGAATATCTTCTTTCTTTTTACCCCCTGCTATAAGCAGTTAGCATTTTCCCGATTAAGAACTCCCAATTTGATTCGCTGTCGCAACACTGCGACAGCAATCATGTATACGTCATCGGTGCATAATTAGATCACGTGATTCAGTTTAATCGGGCGCTTCCATCTTGGTTATAGCAGGGGAGAAGAAGGAGGTATGGATTCTGGACACCTGCTTAGGAGGATGGAAGTGTCTGTACTCTTAAGTTTTACAAAGAGACAGAGGGAGATGGTCTAATAAATCATTTAATCATTTCAGTGAAATAACACACTTATATTTTGTCTCAAATTAAGTTACAACCGGTCATTGTGAAAATACCATTTGCAATAAATTGTTACCTTTGAAGTCTATATCAAGTCCGCTGAATTCCAACTCCACTCCTTGCAGTGCCTCTCCCAGGGTCTCATGGTAATGTCCAATAGCCTCCTTAGGCCCTGGACAGAATGGTAGCGAGAAGTACTCATATGTCTCCTGTCTGTTGTGGTAAGGTCCAACAGTGTTCATCCAAAGAACAACCTCTTCATTGTCTTGGTACTGGAATAAAGCAATGAAGAAAATAAGCTCATCATATTTAATTAACTCTATCAAGAGTTGTATAGCATCCTTTGTAGAGAGCTTTGTTTACACACTTTGAATATATTTTGATCTAACCATGACCACTTGGATAAGATTGATCAAAAAACAGTTAACGGAATCAGAAATGCAGTGATTCCATCTTATAAATGCCTTCACGAAAACAACATTTATTTCATATTTTACAAGACTATTATATGATATTTACTTTTGCATGGCTTATTAAGATCTTATTATCAGTCAGAGGGTTTTAATTACAACTAGCTTTTGTGTAATTGGGGCAATTAAATGATGCATACTGTTACATTTGTATATATCATCTGGGCCTATGGGCTTATTATTAAACTGAGCACAACTCAAATCTGGAATATGCTTCAAGTTGTTTATCTGTGATAAACCCAGCCCTAACTAAGTAAATGGCCATCCAATACATAAACATGACATCCGATATCTTATCTTAAACTGTCTTCAAAACAAAGCCCACATTTAAGAATTAGAGGGTGCTAAATAAACAATATTTAGAAAATAGAAATGAAATTTGGGTTTAATTGGGGTTTTCAAAAGATGGCTTTCCTAATTTTGAGGTTGTCTCGTTGATTTTCTTGATACTCCAACAGACCCATAGCTCTATGTGGCAATGGATTATATTTTGATGACACCTCTAACTAAGAGTCTAAATATATCATCTTGAGACACATGTTCAATCAGGGACATGAATTGTTTCACTAAATAAAAATTAACAAGAGAGAAAAACCGAAATTTTGTTTTGGATACATATCTGCGTCTGGAGAAGATGATTCTCTGGTTACCCATCTATTTTGGCGATAGCATTTATCCCTCGACCGAGTTTGGGTTCTTGCTTGGGGAAGACAGAGCTCATAAAAAGTTACCTTCTTCTAAGGCCACTGTATCGTGGCCTTCCAGTACAGATATATTCCTGCATGAACAACTGGTCATGTCGTAATCATAAATTTGAAATCATATGTCCGCCATTTTTCCACATCACAATTTGAATTGCGAGTTTTGGTCTTATTACCTCACCAAAAATCCCAAAACACACATAAAGTGATCAGTGTATTAGTTCACATCTTCTGGATCGCTAACTTAGAATTTACAGCCGGTTACTAATGCCAGACATTAACGACATTTCGTCCAGTTTTCGAACATCGCCATTTTTCTTGGAGCCATTTTGTTTTAATTTTAGACGAAATCCTGATGAAATCATGTCATATCTCATCAAGGAGCCGAGCTGGGTCCGGTTTGATTAATGATTTATTTATCTGGCGATTTTTAAAATATTCAATAAATTTATGACACCCCGGCCAGCTTTTTTCAAATAGAATTCACAGTATTCAGATGAAATCCCCTCTAGCCAAGTATTGGCTAGAGACTCGAGTAAATAAAAAGAAACCCTCAGGGTTGGAGTGCATAGTAGGGGTAAACTTTTGAACCATTTCCTTCTTATTTTCCAATGAATAATGACATGTTCCATAACCAGATCAAGCTGGCTCTGCATGGTCTCTTGACGCACCCTGAACAAGGGGAGGAAATGTCCAGGCCTCATACAGATGCTGGCAAGATTCTTTCCAAGTAGGATCATAAGATCAATAAATATTCCTCCTGATGAGTCTCTCAAAGAAATTTTAAAATGATGGTTGAGCAGCCATTTCAGAAAAATATCCATTTCTATAGCCTATGATTTTTTTTCCAAGCTCTCATTTTTCACATATTGCAAACATATTTCATAAAGCAACCAAATCCATTTCATTCAGTACTTCACCATGGACTTCCATGACCATGATTAAAGACAACAAATACATTTCTGAATTGGAGGGTAAAAGTTGGGTGTTGACTTCCCCAAAATAAATATTTGTTTACATTTTTAGTCCACTTTTACAAATATTTCACATTGCAGACTACGACCAAATACCTGAAATAATGGTAAATGATAGTTATATTTGAGCTTGGCTAATAGACAAACGAATATTTTTGAGCTGTTTCTAGATATTTTTCTAACAAATACGTAGAAAAATTATGCAGGTCAAAAATACAAAATTTTCGAAAAAAAATTATCCACTTACTGTATGTGAGTGTTCATCCGCATCTAGGCATTTTAGAAATACTAAAATCACACAGAGTGTCCTTAAAGGTTGATATCTCATTTTGATGTGCTCCAAAATATAAATGCAAGATTAGAAATTGAGATGTCGATGGATATTTTCCTAAAATTCGTCGCTATATTTTCATAATGGCGGATCCTGAGCCACGTATACTGGATGCTTCGCGGATTGGGTAGCAAAAATCCTTTCCGTTTCACACTGCCAGTTTTGAGTTGCGCGTTTCATGTTAGATCGAAATGTTTTTGGTAATTAATTACTATTAATCTAGTATCATCTGACAAACACCCACTTGTTTTCAAGATAAAAAATGAAAGTTACGAATGCATTTATTCATACCAACCAAGAAAAGTTTTACCATCATGCCCGGTGATCGGACAAAATGAATGGAGGGGTGCAGTAAGCGATCTCTACAAGAAAATCCAACAAATCAGGAAGATTTATTTTTTCAAGAGAAAGTATACAACTGAATTGTTAAATGAATAGGCGCGGTACATTGCAAAATATGTGAGGTCTTCTATTACATCTCTGGAGAATGAAAAATGGGAAAATTTGGAGTTATATAACTTTAATTCAAGTACGGGCCTAACTACTACTGTGACGATCCTTCAGATTACTTTGAGCATGGTAATGGAATTGCCTTGAAGGATTGTCACTTTGTTCAACTTTTTGCTCTTCACTTTATCAATTGTGCTTTTAGTTACTCAATATTTAAAGAGTTATAAAATAATTTAAATTCTGTAAAAGGGTAGTCAGTATTACTACTTTGGCTATACTCTTAAAGTATGGTTAGAGTTTAAGAATTTTAATCTATATTCATATTTAGGTTAATAACCTTCTCTTGTGTTTTTCATGTAATATTATTTACAGGATTAATGTCAACATATTTTGTTCATAACAAGAGTTTAATGTTAAGGTTTTAGGCCCAGTTTCATATTTAATGTTATGTTACAAACTTTTTAGAAAGGGCAGTTGTCTGGGTTTGTTTTCAAAAATCCAAAGTGAGGCTTATTAAGCTCGATTTAAGTAAATAAGCACGTTTTAAGTGAATTGTCTTTTTCTGTGCTTTTATGATTCGAATTCAAGCCGGCCAGACATGGAAAACATTTTGTGGAATTTTAAACATTAAATCGTCATTAAAATTGGATATTTATATTGCCGCAGATAAACCAACTTAGGTGTACGAGTTGGTAAAGGTAATTGACTTGATCTAATTGTATTTTTGCAGAGTTTTAGTCTTTGAAAAGAAGTATCTGTACACTTGACTTTTTCCTTAATTTTATTTATTTGCCTTGTGAACATCCCGTGTTTATATTGTCCCAGGGATTGTTAAGGAACATTTGACAAGGTTAACGCAAAGTTACACGCAGAGTTTTTGTCTTAAAGAACCTATGTAACTTATTAACCAGCGTCGAAAGCAAGTTCCCGGGGTTCCTTATGGAACCTTCTATACAACATCCCCACAGGGAATCGTTTAGGAATATTTGACAAGGTGTACGAAAAGTTACGGTCTTTACGAACCTTATGTAACTTGCTCTAAACCAGTCAACTGCAAATTCCAGGGGTTCATAGACACCTCTATACGACATCCCCCCCCCCCCATCCAGTTTGGGACTGTATTTAGTTTGTTCACAGGGTAAATTTTATTAATATACTTGAAATACTCCTTTGTATATTTGTATGTTAAATTCTGGGTAATTTATCTAAAGGTGAAATCCCAGGCTTATGGGACCATTATCAAAGAACTGATCATTGAAGTACTTTTAAGGGTCATGGTCATTCGAAGCCCATTTTCGGACTTAAGACACCCCCTCCCCTTCTAGTTTTCCATGTCTGGTCTAATTTTATGTTAACCACATTCTAATTCATTATAGATACTAGAAATACTTTTAAAATACTGTTTCCCATTTGTTTGCCAATTGTACCATAGTCTGATAGTGGCAAAATGATGTTCCACTTTTCATGTGAGTAGTATAGAGAGCTGATTTCAACCCCACCAGGGATTATATAAAATTGCACTGTTGAGTTACATTTTTGGGAAAGACACATTTTAGGCTTTGTTGCAAATTGTTTAACTGAACTTCCATTAGCTGTGCTGTTTTATGCATGTTTGGTTTGAGAGATTATTTATTTGATATACCATCTCGGCAGTACTGAATTGTGTAATGTTTGTGTAGATTAGTAAATAGAAATAGAGTCGTTTTTATACATTATATAAAAATCCACAGAATATCACTTGTTGTGTTCGATTGTTTATATATATGTTAGAAAATTCCCCTTTCATTTTATCTGAAGTAGATTCTGGATTCAAAATAGATTCCGACTAAATTCCAGGTGACTTAAGTGATACTAACATTCAAGCAACAAGCTTTATCTTAGCTCATATTTGCTAAGGGCTTCTTTGAATAACAATCACTCACAATAAGTCATACATATATTTTCCCAGAAACTATGCAATAGTGCAGAGCTAAAGTACAATCCAGGATCTTACTTTCTTATTTAACCTTTGTCTTATTGAGAATATTAGTGAGAATTTCATTCATCCTGGTACCAAGTCGTTACCTCAAACATCATTTACTTCCAATGTTTTCTTACTTGCTTGTTTAAATGGTGTACAAGTAATATTATCCCCTGATGAGTTTGACAGATTCAGTGATTTGAAATAGCCCAACTTTAATTCTTACAAACTTTCCCACTTTTATTGTGACCAGCGAGCTTAATATACAGCTTGAAGTCCATCGTAGCCCTCTTGTGGCTAGGACTTCCACCTGGTTATACTCACACCCTAACATTATACTTATTTGATACAACTTAACACTGGGCACATTCAGAATCTGGAGTCTGTTGCCATTCGCCTTTATGAGACATACAACTTACATTGAAAACTGACAAATCTTACTTAGTCTATATTCAGATTTTGTTATCCCGTAATTGTTATCCCAAAATTGTCCCACTTCATCCCAATTATTTTTATCCCAGAATTTATCCCTAAATTTTTATCCCTAAATTTATCCCTAATTTATCCCTAAATTTTCATCGCAAAATTTATCCCAATTTGATCCTATTTTGTTATGATACTGTGAACACGGATGTTGTTCAATTAAATAGGGATACACATTTCAACTTTTACTTGAACTTGTCCCGAAACTAAGTTAATTAAGATATCAAATCAAACTATTGATTCTTAGACTGTATTCTGTTTACGACCCTCAAACCACGCTACCACACGAGGGTCGTGACACTACTACCCCCTCCGTTCATTTTGTACGATCACCGCGGGGCGTATACCATGCATGGTGGCCAGCGTGCAAGAATACAACTGAGCATCAGCAAACTTGAACACAATCAAGTTTGTTTACAGATTACACCCACTGGCGGATCTGGGGGGTCCCCCCCCCTGGGTTGGCCCAGAAAAAGAATTGGGCCCAAAAAGTGTTGGGCCAAGAAAGGCCTTAAAAGATTTTTTTTTTAAATGATTTTTTCCCCTTTTGCCTAAGAGTGTCATTTATTTTTATGAGAACTATGTTTCTCTATACTACACAATTCAGGACGGGTGGAGATTTATAAATTTTCAAGTATTTATTGTGATTTAAAAAATCAGAAATGTGCGTTGTCAACTCGAATGTACGTTATCCCTGTAATTGGAATTCATGAGATACACGTCAGTGGCGTAGGAACAATGTACGCCAAAACGCCAGTGCGTAGTGTTGAAAAGTGAGAATAAAAATTTTCCTATGTTCTTTAATCATATTTTCTCATTGTTCATAAATTGTAAAAGTAATCTCGAGCACACTAGTCTAAAGAAATGTTTTGTGGATACCATATCATTATTGGTCTGTCTGGCAAATATCATTTAACAGATTGAATTCCCTTACCAACATGCTTTATTTCATGAAAATCGAGTCTATCTTATGAATTTTAAAAGTAAAATACAATTTCGCCAAATATTCGTGAATCGCGTTCTCTTCACGAATTTGAGAGAAAAACTGTTTTTTCATTTTTTCTCATGTTCTGTAATGCTTATGCAAACTATGGTATCATATGATTATAATGATGAACCTCTTTAAAAGATGTATATTTTTTTATTCTCCCCTACCCCGATTTTTCAATTTCACTACATCGATTTATATTCCGTTTCTATGCAAAATCATAGACAGAAATTATAGTTAAGTCAGCAATTATCTATTTTCTTACTAAATCACTAATTGTTATTAGTAGTACTTCTTGAAATATGAATGTTAAAGACAAAAACAACTTGAAAATGCTGATTATTCAATAACACGTTTCATTGATTTCAGTTCTAGAAAAGCGATTACCTAGTTTTTTTCATTTGAAAAATAATAAATTCTTGTTTTATAACATTTTTGGCACCCCCTAAGTCACGTTGACCTCGATTTGACCTTTGTTGTGGGGGTGTTTATTTGTTTCATTGATCACGAATGCGTTTCTTCATATCAATTAATCTGTACGTATTGTTTTGCACGGTACACGATGGAATCAGAAAATACTATATATCTAAATTCAATTATTCGAAAATTATTAAAAAATCTCTTATTGTTTTGGAAATTGGTCGTCTCAATCGTTCGAGACATTAGCAAAGTGAGAATGATTTGTGTCGAGATTTAAAAGATAGGCTTTCCAAGGTGATTTTAAATGATGAAAATCATTCGAACATTTTAAAGCACATTAAAAAGGTATCAGGGATTTAAAGCTTGCATATAAAATCGAAACGCCAACCTATACGTATGACCAATCGCCCATACAAATGCATCGCTTAAGTATTTCCATTCACATTTAGGTTGTGAAAACCATTGCAAGCTTAAAATCTCTGTTTTCATAAAATGACATTTTACGAGCATAAAATAGGCGTTTTGATATAGAATATTGACACAATTGTTTCATATTTTTGGCGGGATTTTTGGCGTAGTGTTGAATTTACACCTTCCTACGCCCCTGGTAGGGTTAATATTAAACAATGTAATGGTTTCATTTCAAAATTTATTAGGTTTGAGTGAGTAATGAGTAACAAGTGATCTTGAACGAACATGTTCAAGTATTCTTTTTGCTTTTTCATTTTATGAAAGTATTGTGGTGGTGGTGGTTAATTTGTGCCCATTTGGTGTTAGCTTCCAGCCCAAACTCCCATCCAGTGTCTCGGAATAGAATATGTTGAAGATTAACACTGCCACGGAGTCTGCTTCCATCCTGTTTGATTATTTGGCGTCCAGGTACCTTACGTTTTGTTAGTATTGATAGATCTACTGATCTATACTAGCTTATTGAATATGACTTTTTAAAATCCCGTTTATGATATATCTGGAAAGTTTCAATAGTTCAATCGAAGTAATTCTGTTATTGTTTTAAATGAATCTGACCCTATGTCTGTCTGCGTTATGAAAAAAAACGTTGTGCATCATGCATTAGGGTTAACTGAATTGAGTAAGTTCAATGGGACAACGTACATTCGAGTTGACAACATACACTTATGATTTTTTAAATTATAGCCAAAATGTTAATACTAGTCTTATTAAATCTTCAACAGACCTTAATTGTGCTGTTTAAAGAAACATATTCTCGATAAAAATATTCGACACTCTTAGACGACAGGGGAGGAAACGATCAAAGGAAATGTGTAAAAATAAAAACCGTGACAACATTTTCCAACCGATCAATTATATGGGTAGATTGACTACACATCGAGCACCGTTCGAAAATCTTTTAACGTTATTAGAAAGTTAAATGTCTTCCTAAACGAATACACAGAAAATCAAACATGAAATCCTTAATGCATTCCTCAGATTCTTTTTTAAAACCTACATCAAACCTACATCATTATCTTTGCTTCAAATCGGTTAAATAGTGACATCGTACATCAAAAGTGTACTACGGTATATTTTGTCACTGTACCTTGTCGATGGTGTGACTGTACCACGGACCAAAACAATCAAATTAATCTACATGGCCAAAGATTAACTGACACGATGGGAATGTACAATTGTAAGTTTACATGTATCCACTCCGGGAGTGGGGCTCCCCGCAGATCAGTGTGAAAACTGTGTGAATGATACCATCTAACACGCATATTGAATGCAATCCTACGTCACCACTATTCAAGGAAGGTCCATGGTGTCACTATTGAATGAAGGTCATTGTCGCCACAATTTTTGGCCCCTGTTGAATGGTGAAGGTCGCTAAAATATCTTTCAATAGTGGTGACATTGGCAAACACTTGGTTCCTGACCTAAAAACCTATCGTAGGCTATGTATATGGGAATCTATCCAATTTTTTAATGAATCAAGGAAGGTCTATATCTAATGAAAATAACTTATTTTAGTGCAGTTACTGATATACTGAACACGATGTAATTATGTTACGTGCGTTCTCTTTTTCGGATCAAAAGTGACATATCATTTTTAGCACACCGGCCATTGGAAAGCATTTTTTGTCATTTCGAATGTAGTTTTTACCAGAATGATGTTTAACAACTGAGATATCAAACATTACGTTACGCGTTAATCTTTAAGAAAAAAAAACGACGTGACCGCGGTGTATATTTGTTTTTTTCATACTGCATATAATGCCGGGGTGTTACGTTCGTTTCCTCACCATGATCCACCACAATAAAAGTGGTCTTATAACAACCATAGACCGATATATCACTTAAAATATGGCATTGCAGAAGGTGTTACGTTTTTCATTGTGATTTAAAATGGTTAAACACATTTTAATCACGACCTTGTAAAGGTACTTAGTCAATGGCCTCCTAGTTTTTAGTTTTATCTTCCTCTGTCTTCTAAATTAGCATCTATTCATCTTCATGTAAAAGACCGACAGCCGACCACGTGTACCCAACTTTGGAGAGTGACTGGTCAGTAGTCAGCGATCGGTCTTTTCCGTCAACCCGAATGTAGGTCCATGTCGCCATCATTGAATAACGGCCCAAGTCGTAATTATTGAATGAAGGTCCATGTCACCACTATTGGATGTGTTAAATGCCCGTGTTGTCCCTCTTGATTGACAGTCAATGTCAACACTTTTGAATGTCATAAATGTCCACGTTGTCACTATTGAATGAAGGTCCATGTCATCACTATTGAATGTAGGTCCATATTGCCATTATTGAATGGGGGTTAATGCCACCACTTTTGGATGAAGGTTTATGTCACCATTAATAAATGTAGGTCCGATTGCCACGATTGAATGACAGTCAGTGTCACCACTATTGAATGTGATAAATGTCCCTGTTGTCACTTTTGAACGGGGATCAATGCCATCACTTTTTAATGAGGGTTCAAGTCACCATTATTAAATGTCGGTCCACTACTGAACGGGGATCAATGCCACCACTTATGGATGAGGATCTATGTCACCATTATTGAATGAAGGTCCATTTCGCCACTTTCAAATGACAGTCAATGTCACCACGATTGAATGTGATAAATGTCCCTGTTGTCACTTTTGAATGGGGATCAATGCCATCACTTTTTAATCAGGGTTCAAGTCACCATTATTAAATATAGGTCCACGACCACTATTGAACGGGGATCAATGCCACCACTTTTGGATGAGGGTTCAAGTCACCATTATTAAATGTAGGTCCACTATTGAACGGGGATCAATGCCACCACTTTTGGATGACCACCACTTTTGGATGAGGGTCTATGTCACCATTATTGAATGAAGGTCCATTTCGCCACTTTCAAATGACAGTCAATGTCACCACTATTGAATGTGATAAATGTCCCTGTTGTTACTTTTGAATGAGGATCAATGCCATCACTTTTTAATGAGGGTTCATGTCACCATTATTAAATGTAGGTCCACTATTGAACGGGGATCAATGCCACCACTTTTAGATGACCACCACTTTTGGATGAGGGTCTATGTCACTATTATTGAATGAAGGTCCATTTCGCCACTTTCAAATGACAGTCAATGTCACCACTATTGAATGTGATAAATGTTCCTGTTGTTACTTTTGAATGAGGATCAATGCCATCACTTTTAATGAGGGTTCATGTCACCATTATTAAATGTAAGTCCACTATTGAACGGGGATCAATGCCACCACTTTTGGATGAGGGTCTATGTCACCTATCTTGACGATGGTATAAGGTCGTTATTCACCTGTGGGGATGTAATGTGGAATATCGGTCACTGCATTCCCACGGGAAATATTGATATCATCCTCGTGATTCCCCATATCAAATCCCTCCTGGTGAATAACTACTTTGTATCTGAAACCGCTCAGCTCACAACCCTTATCTAAATAATTATGTACAAAAGTGATTGTTTAATAAATAACCATGTTTTATTTAAAACAGATTAACAGCTCAATGTGGAAACACAATAGGAGTAGGTATGTTGAATATTCTGTGACTAAAACAATTAATATGTAAATATTTGTCTTCATTTTCGAAACAAAAGATATTACTGAACTGATATAACACGTATATGTAATATATCTAGGAATTACTGAATGGTTTGTAGCAATTTCAGAGATACAACAATCATCTTTTTTAGTAAAAGAAAACACTCATTCCTGCTTTACTATATCTAGTTGAAAGTATATACTTCTAGTGTACTTGTCTATTTGACATTTCATGTAAACTTATGGCTAAAAGGTCACATCCTCGTACCTCATAGAATATCCTATAAAATCCATGATGCAACACACTGTTTATTAGTTTACTGGTTTCAAGATTAAGTAAAATATTCACCATTTTGTATTGTATGAATCTTCAACTGTTACTATTTGTATATATTGAATCCCTCGCAAAAAGTTCATTAAATGTCAATATCCAGCTAAACAATCATTCTATTAACTTTTCACGAGGGTGTATTGACTTTAGTTTAATTTCCTAAAATTGTTGTTGGTTAACCAACAACCAAAACGCCATTTCCAGGGAAGCTATGTTCTGGTACTTCTAGATTAAGGGGGGCAGGGCCTTTGCGGATACGTCCTGATGCGTCGTAATGAGAGCCATGACAGGGGCAATAATAGCCTCCATATTCACCTGCATTGGCGATAGGAACACATCCTGGAATTTCAATAAAACATGATATGTAGTATTATACAATATTGGGCAAGCAGTTTGGCCTTTTGTTGTAAATGAATATGGATGCCATTTGCCTGCATTTAAGTTAAAACATGTCCATTATTGTGGGTAGGTACTTCCTTCAAGAAAGGTACATGCCACCTGTTGGTGATGATGTCATTCTTACAATTTCAGGGAATAGGATAAACTAAATATTACTGTATTTCATTTCAAGAGCAAACAATTCTGTCTTGACAAACATTGCTGTCTTTTGTATACTATCTGGCCAATAATACCCTTACAAGTATATAGGGCTCACCAAAAGGGGCAAAAAACAAGATTCATTGGAAAGGAACTAAAAGCTGCAATATTTCGAAACCAATCTTGGAGTCTTTGTCTGGAAGCATGAATGCAATAATTGAGGATGACTCTCCACAAACTTGCACATTTGCCTGGCCAGCAAATTGATGTAAGGGTGTTAAGAAAACAACTGTACATACCTAAATGTGTACACACTCCTAATAAAATCAGCCATTTGTCATCTTTAACACGATCCTCATCTCTCTCTGGATCGCGAAGTTGGGCAATATCTACAGCACGTACCTCCTCTATTTCATCACTTGGTCTGTGACGAACAAACAAAGGTTTGCCTGCAACATGTCAATAATATTTATTGTATAACCTATTGGCACTAAGAAGAATGTCCCTTCCCTCGATTTACATTTCAGTAATATTTATTGTATAACCTATTGGCACTTCACAAGACTGTCCCTTCCCTCAAAAATCTGCCCACATTAAATAGACCCATTGGCATACCTCTCCATTTAAATACAGAAATCTGCCCACATTAAATAGACCCATTGGCATACCTCTTCATTTAAATACAGAAATCTGCCAACATTAAATAGACCCATTGGCATACCTCTCCATTTAAATACAGAAATCTGCCCACATTAAATAGACCCATTGGCATACCTCTCCATTTGAATACAGAAATCTGCCCACATTAAATAGACCCATTGGCATACCTCTCCATTTAAATACAGAAATCTGCCCACATTAAATAGACCTATTGGCATACATAAAATAGACCCATTGGCATACCTCTCCATTTGAATACAGCACTTTTTCCTTCTGGCACATCTTCCATGTTAATTTCAATTTTTGCCAGAGCAAGCACATCAGCTGATGCACTGAGGCTGCCGATAAACTCTTGCACTACACTCTTTCCACCATATGCAAGGCCAAGACCACTGCCTGAAAGAAGAAATGATTCTGTGAACCCAGTTGAACTTTTGTTTTACCTAGAAGTGATATACATGTATATCGCTTTGAAACATGCTTTTGAGGTAAAGATGAAAATTAAATAACGAGAGCAAAAATATACTTTCTGGATTAAATCAGTAAATATTTACAAATGAAGTACACATTTTTGAAAAACTATGAGAATAGCAGAGCAGAATAAGAATAACCACTTTCTGTAATGAAATAGAACAAATGAAATACAATGTGATGTATTGTGACAATGATTTGTTTAAAGGAAAAGAACATCTTTGAAAAGCTGTTGCAGAGAGAAACAAAATATTGTATACAGAGATTGTATAAATCAATCAGATTGTGCTAAACGTACCTATCATAGTGAGATATGTAAAGCTTTTCCTTGAGACTTGTGTTGCTTCAGATTTTGCACCAGTGTTTTTCACACTGGGGCGTCTATATTCTGAGAAATCGGGCACGCTGATGTCTGAGTGAGCAAACCTCACCTGGGTAGATCCTAAAACAGAAATAATAGAAAACATGGAATTTGGCTCCCATTGACTAGATACATATAAAATAATAGGTATTTCAAAATGATACGCATAAATTTTTCTTATGTTAGCATCTAATATTCATTCGTGTAAAATATTCATGAATCAAAGTGCCAAATATTCATAGGTGTCAAATATTCATGAATCAGAGTGTGAAATATGCATTAGCATCAGCCATCAAATAAAGAGCAAATTTTATTTTAACTAATTAAGATGCAATAAATACTGGGAAAACAACAAAAAACTAATTAACCATCAAAGTCCTCAATTTGTTCATACAATTGGCTTTGCAGCAATGCTTTACAGCCTAAATATGGAACTCCACTAAAATTGCCATCTTTAAGAAAAGCTATGTAAAATTCCCTTTCAAAAACGACCCTAACTAACAACCATTGATTCTCCACCCAAGGAATCATGCTCAGGCCTCAAAAAGTCTGGGAGTGCTAATAGGAACATGGGCACCAATAACGGAAATATGGTAGCTTTAATTTGGCGCTATTAACTTGGCCGATTGGGTAAATTTGAAATGTTGGCTGCTATTAAATTTTGCAATCGAACCATCAGTAAATCTTTAAATCTGGTATCTTTCGAAGAAACCAGATGTAATCTCAGTTCAATAATGCTCTTAATGCACTCGAAACTCATTTTGAAACACTGGCTGATTTTAAGATTGATTTGTATTGTATATATGCAATCAAGACAGCCATTACTTTTCAATTGTGGCATTGAGAGAAGGTAAGAATGCATGTTCGGAATTGTGATGCATTCCTCAATAACCCAGATGCGAGTAGAAATAATCTTGATTTACGTCATTAAAAATTCAAAATTCAGTCAAAGTAATATCATATTTGAAATCTACATGTAAAATTACATCTAGAAATGTGGTTTTAAAAAGTGTTTATCAACTTTGAAAAATTACTTTTCTTCGAAAATGTGACTTCTAGCTCGGGGAGATTCCCCATAGACCCCATGCTATAAAATCACAAAAAATGAAATATCTTTTCTTTTAGTGGACAGATGATATTTTGCTTTACTGGACATATATTCATTAGTATAAGTATTAGACACATAAGGGTTATATGAAAATTGAGCCACTTAAATTGATAATATTCAAGTTTAAGGGAACTTTCTTATATACCTGCCATGTTAATTGACCCGAATCAGCCACCTGGTGGTGAAACTGGTAACTACCTACTCGCATTTGGGTAATTGAGTCAATGTTATATTTCAAACAGGAGTCACCCCTTCCCCACACTATCTTCATCTTTCAGTTTTGCACAAAGAGTGCACTAATGAACCTAGAAATGACTGGTGAGAAGATTTGTTTTGCAAACTGTAGTTGCTCACAATATTATGAGTTCAAACAGATTTGAATTTATGAAAACTTGTAAATGATTTTGAAAAAAATTGGAAAATTTGCAAGATGAAAAAAGACCTTAGAAGTTTCTTGACCTTGAGAAGGCCATGGAAGGTCAAATCTCAAATCTAAAGTCAGATTAATTTTGAAAAGAATTGAAGTCAGTCAGTATTTGTTAAGATATTGGAAGTTGTAAGAATTTGCTGCAGATGCCAACCACCAACTGCAGTCAGAAAAAACGGACACCATAACAATATGGTGACATAAAAATGAAAAAATTCAGTGACAGAAGGTCTCTATTTTATACATTTTACAAATAAATCTTCTTTACAGTATTTTTTATGCAAAAAGTGCACTCTGTGCAAAGCTGAAAGATGAAGACAATCTGGAGAAGGAGTGATCACTACTTGAAAAATAACATGTGACTCAATCAGAGGGGGATTAACACCAGAGTTCAAAGATGACATACGCTTATAATGTAAACCTGTATTGCGATGACATACACCTCTGATTGGTCCAAATCGATAAACAAAAATGGTGGATTCAAAATTTTCTAATAACGCTTGGAATTATATTATGTTGATTCCTGGCGTATAACCAATATCATAGCTTGGTTTTTCACATCAAGATAAAGAAATATGTAAGGATTATGTTTACATCGATTAAAACATCACGATGATGCATGATGCACTTTGTTCGAATATTAAGAGAATTTGTGCAAACAAAGGTGGTACACAAGAGACGTATCATGTCGTTGCGCATCGCTAAAGCTCTGGTTTATCGGCAAAACGAAATTTTTTTCGTTTTTGATTGCAATATTTGCATGTAATATTTAACTTATATCAACCCTCAAATTCTCTCATTTATTGGTACATGTACTTCCGGGCCAGTCCGAACGGGGAATCCCCTATTAAATCCAACCGCCATTTCGGTAAGTGTGGAATTTCTTTCGATACAAAACGAAATTTTTTTCGCTCTGCTGATAAACAAAGACAATTTTGGATTCAACTACACGAAAAGAATGCTATATACCAAGGAATCTATTGAAGTAGGTATCTAAAGTGTAAGGGGCGTAGATAATTCTCCCAAGTTGTAATCGTACAGGCAAAAGATTGGGCTCGTTCCAGGACTATAGTCATGACACAGGATAAGTTGAGACATTCTCGAATCTCAGGACCATAGATCTAAAACAGTATTCCGGGCATGAGATAACTAGTCTATATACCACCAAATAGGGAGTGTCGGAGTATGTCATTGGATGTGTATTAATATATAAGAAAACAACATACTTCCTAGTCCTGTTGAAACTGATAGGCATCCTTTCGGTACACTTCGAGCCAGTGCCTGGTTTGTGAGAATTTCTTGACTTGGTTGTAAAACTACGTCCGAACTTTTGACAAGAACGGGTGCTATTACTGGTGATACGCCTGATGGAACTGCATTCACTGTTGCCGTAAGAGCAGGAAAGCTGCTACTTACTCGACCTACAGATCTTAACATTGTCTATTTTAGCTAAAATGTTATGAAAAACTAAAATTTCGAAATTTTTCAAATCCAAGATGGCGTATTCGAATGTCGTAAAATCGACGGAAAAGTAGTCTCAAGGTCAAACTTTTATGAAACCAAAAAATGTTTCGAGCTGTTTCAAAGGCCGTTTTCAGTGGCTTATCTGCCTCTAAATCTATCCAAACTAGGACAATATATGTTGGGGTACGTCTCTCAAAGGGAGAAACACCCGACGATATCCAGGTACCCCCAGTACCCGTGTATAAATATAAAGCAAATGAGACCATGCAAGAGAGACGGGCAAGATTGTTGTATCAAAGTAGAAAAAGGGGAATGCTTGAAAATGGTCTGCTCCTTAGTCAGTTTGCACAGAAATTCTTAGATAAACTAACTGATGAACAGGTACTTATGTATGATAAACTCATAAATTTACCAAGTAATGATTGGGACATTTACTACTGGGCGACAAATAAACAAGAACCTCCCAAGGAATTTGAAAATGAGGTCCTTGAGATGCTCAGAGAACATGCGACAAACAAGGATATGGAATCACGTATTCGACAACCAGACCTTTATACCTAAATTAGCTTGTGAACTTCAAATCAACATTTTTGGATCAGAAATACTCGTATAATAACATGATCTACAACTGTAACCAACTTCCTTGACCACTTGACCCGGGATGTGGACCACTTCGCGGAGAGCGTTGCGCATCAATAAGTCTGCATCTGCTCGATGATTAGCTCACTAAATTACGAAATAAAACCAAAGTTTATGTAGACGCGCCTAAAGTCTTGATATGGAAAACTGATAATTCTGTGCGCCTTATCATAATTAATAGTTAATGCCAGTTTGGCATTAACTCAACATACTGAGTGGAGTAACATGTTTCAAACTTACCTGTCACAGACCTGTAAACATGATGAAAACTATAACTTTATACACGGAGTGGACATACAGTGGCTACAATTGGTTACTTTTCCCGTGGACTCTCTTGAAAGCCCATGCCTTTCCTTCACTTTATTGTTATTATCTATGGTCACAGGGCTCTCACCAGGAAATAATTAGGGTGTGGTGCCAACATCTTCAGAATAACTGTTCAATAGTAATAAATCATATTTATGTTATGTTTTATCCTTTTTACATGCTATTATTGTATTTTAAGTCAAGTTTAGACTGTGGAAACAGTCATGATTTGCCAATAGGATGTGGTGAGAGCTAAATAGAGTGTGGTGCTGCGCCACAGTCTAAAAGCCTGGCGAGAGCCCTGGGTCATATTCTTGATACTAATGGAATGTTCTAAAGATTCATGAATAGCAATAGTTCATTTCATAATCAATGTGAAATTGAAAATAAAGTTGTAAATATTTACATATCTTATCTTTTGTCAAAACTGTTTCTGATGGACCTGAAAATCTTAGCTTATGGTCCCAAGTAATACTTCATATACATGTACTTTTGTCATGCAAGCCTAGCTTTAAAAGACCAAAATTGAAGTCAATACATTCATGACATTTACATTCTAGAAATACCCATAGGTCATTTTGTGATTTTACTGGAACATTGAATCTCTCTTATACCACCTTAAATAAATTTTAAATTTACCAATGGGATGATAAACCTGTAGGTGTATCAAAAATCAAGATGAAAATGAACTTTTTAAAATCTATTTTGAATTAGGAATGTGTCCAATTAGCAAATCCTAATGAATATGATATATGTCATATAAAAAGAACCAGATAGGCCTATCACAAATGATTTCCTTGACATGGAGCATCTTCTCAGATAAAATTACCGCCAAGTGAAACACCTCACAAGTGGAAAAGAATCTGTGGTTTGTTGGGAAAACTATTATTTAGGTTACCCGCCACCCACAAACTTAATTATATAGGCTAAATGACTGACCAAAACATAGATATCTTGATGATTAGATACCCTCACTTTGTTTGCAGCTAGATCCCTGATTCAAATGAAATAATATATACAGGGTGGGCCAAAAAAATGCCACTTTTTTTTCAAGACACTACATACGCCAAATTTTGCAGTTATATAGTGCCAAAGGTTCTTGGTAATAATATAATGTAACGAGTCATTCAACTTGGATTATATTTGATCTAAAAGGGGAGTTCAATTGATCCACCACTCTAATTGATGATATATTTTAGTTTTAGTTGCCTTGCTGATATTGCAGTATCAATGAAATGTTAGCTAAGTTTTTCTCAACCTGTCTTAATTGCCAGCTTTAGTTGAGCAATTTTCTAGATTGGGTGCCTTCATACAATCTCCTGGAGACCTTCCCATACCCTTTACTCACTGGGGTTTGCATCAGGGCTATTAGCTTGGCGATCATCAGGCCGTATCAGTTCAGGAACATTTTGCAAATTATGCTTATTTATCATGGCACACCACATGTTTAAAGGGATCCATCACCTTACAAAACTTCTTAACGGAGAGGAATAAGGGAAAATGCTTGCCGGATTCTGAATCTGTGTATTTTTTAATGATTTTTCACCGTCTTAGAATTTCAATTTTTTTTCCTTTGAAAAAATGAGATTTGCATTGTTTTCCAATTAGAAAAATGAGTAAACATGAATAGCTCGAAATCTAACGGTGAGATTTTGTTTTAAAAAATCATGGATATCAAGGCTAAATATAGCTATACAATAAACATAAAAAAGCAATGCTTGGACTCTTCATATTCACACAAAAAATTAATTAGTAAATGAGGTTTGATATTTGTGAGAATAAGTTGTACGAGGTGCAATGCTCTACAAACACCAGACTACAGGGTGGATTAGGATCAATGACACACATAAAAATTAATTTAAAAATATTTCATGATAATTATCTCAAACAAAAGCAGTTAGCGAAGGATACGTTTCATTACACTCAATAAATAGTTATCACTTTTGACTATCTCATGGGAATGTATTTCCATTTGTTCAAGATATCATTTTTTAGCTTCGAAAATCACAATCGTTGGATAATACATTTGTCTCAGAATGATAGGCCACCCTGTAGCAATGTAGCTTTCACTTGAAGTGTACCCTTGAAAATAATTAACTTACTTTCAAATTGGTCTTGCTTTTGTGGTGTATGTGGCTTTTTAGCAAATCTGCCACGCTCATTTCTTTCCAGAACCATCTTGTTCAAATGTATCACTATATTATACGCGCATGTATAGACAGATGACATAAATATACATATAAATTATATATTGCACCTGTATTTACTTACATGGGAATATATATTCCCTTATGGAAAAATGCAAATGCATGAACATATATTTTCATCTTATATATGACTTCAAGCTAACATATTATTTCATATTTATATTTTCATAGTTAGTTTAACATGAATAATAGATCCATGAGAACAATATTCTTTGTTTTTTTTTAAATTGATGGGTTTACTGTGAATTCCATAAATTACAATTTGCAAGGGGTAAGTATACTGTATGAGCTAGCTAGTGGCTTTGTATTTTATGTTAGGCCAGGGTAATTAAATTAGTTGTTTCTCTTCTATTTTTCAAAATTGATACGGGAATGACGGTTTTTATATTACCTTTTTTGTCTATCTAAAATGCTGATGAGGGACGGGATGATTTTTTTCTTTAAAATAACTGTAAAAAGAAATAACTAATTTTGAAGGAAATAAACTGAGTTTATGTTGAATTTATATGTTGAATTTAGCCTACTTTACTGGTATATTTGATCATATATCAGTACCACGATATTGTCAATTATCCTGATCCATAAAAAGTAAAAAAAAGTGTTTCACACGCCATGGATGTGCGCGAGGTACGGTGTTTTTTCTCAGAAATGGCAGAAAAAAGGTGGAGGGGGGATTGGGCCACACGCGGGCAAGAATGAGAAACAACTAATTTAATTACCCTAACCTTAGTTCATCCAGTAGTACGTTTTTACTGCAAAGTAGTGTTTTTATATGCAGCTTCATAGCATAAAATATGTTGAATGAAGCATATGGTGTGGATTAGTCGTGTGACACACAAACTGACCAATACATGAGGGTATTAGCTACTTTTCACATAAACCAAAGGAGGACAGTGCTTTTATTTCAACTGGGAGCTTACCTCCACACGGCTGATCATGTGACCATGGTGGTGGTCCCCTTTAAGTGAGATGCTGGTGACATATTTTATTCAAGTAAAAGTGTATCCATGGCTAGATAACAACCTCAAGTTTCATTTGGTATGCAAATTATGATTTAATATCAAAATTAAAAGTTATAGCATTTTGAAAAAAATGGCGTTTTTTGGCCCACCCTGTATATGTAGGACATCACATGAGTTAAATGATTTAGCTTATAGTTTATTTTTCCATTATTTGACCTCAATGTAACATTTTCTGCCTTCACTTACATGTGGCATTAACATGCAAATATCACCACCTACCATTTGTTACAAACACTGAACACTGATTGCCATCACAAATAAGTTGAAGACTATAACAATTCCATCACTTCTGGTGGTGACATAATAACACAAAATTTAACAACTTAAAGATTCATGAAAATATTGTTGGTTTTATTGGCAATCATAATTACATCATCCAATATTTTTAAAATGAATGTATTTCTACATTTGTTTATTTGTATTCAATTGTACATGATTGTGTCACTTTGTAACATTTGCAGTCCACACGCAATGGCACAATAAAGTGGCACTTAAAGTTGGCATTGGCAACGCCATGATTATCAAGACATCATCCAGTTATTTATTAAATCCATCCTTGGCCTAAGAGTAATGCATTGCATTACACAAGAGTAAATGAGCTACTATGAAAGCAGTGAAAGACCGATCCTGAATGAACTGTCAGTCTGATTCTTCATATTCATACTCTTTAAACCGAGAATTATTTACTCTATCCAGTTTAGGAATCTGTCCAGAATAATATTTGTAGCATGTCTGCTATCATGTGGGAGATCTCATCAAAAAGTCCCATTCCAATGAATTCAAATATGAATTTGGTCAATGGTGTTCTGATAATTCATGTAGAAGCCATGTGCGCTGATGATGGCAATGTTTTTGTATGTACATCTTATATACAGTGAAGTATTATCATCAGGGACAGAGAGTATTACGTCATACTGGAAAAGAAAATATCAAAAATTTAATACAAAGGATGTTTCAGTATTTCCAAAACACAGAAGACCAAATTGCCGCCTCAAAGTATTTCAGGAATACTTGATTTTCAGAAGTGATAATTTACTAGTCAGTTGAACAGCATTATACAGTATCTTTCAATTATAACATTAAGCAATACAAATAACCATCTTTCTAAATTTACATTTAATTCATGTACTTTAAAAAAAATAGTTAAGATAAACATTATCAAATGTTTTCCATACCTATCAATTAGAGATTCTCTCATTTGTGTTGACATTGTGCTTGGTTGGTTATCTCCTAATTTGAATACGGATTCTATGACGTTAACTTCTGTACTAGTCGTGTCTAAGCCACAGAATGCCACCCAATCATTTACCACCATACCTCCTGATATAACCTCACTACCTCTGTTAAGTGTACCTGCCTAAAATATAAAATAGTATAAATTTATTTGATTTTTGTGCTACTTGTGAGTGCTTTTTAAATTTAATTTTTCTTTGTCAGAAATTCATTTAAATCCTTACTCATCTGTCATTTTGATTTGCACAACAAAAATCAATTCTTTGAAAATTCCCGGGGAGTTTGGGATATCGCTAGATATCTCACGGTTGTCTTATCTGATTAGCATGGAAATTGAATATCGCCAGATATCTCATGACATGTGATGTGACCCTGTTAAGACCAATCATACAGTGATATAATAATTAGTATTATTATATCACTATCTAGCTAGCGACAGTATGATTGGTCAAAACCGGGTCACATGTCGTTGGATATCTGGCGATATTCAATGGCAATGCTAATCAGATAAGACAACCGTGAGATATCTAGCGATATCCCACGCTCCCAGGAATTTTTAAAGAATTTGTTTTCGTTCAGTGTAAATAATTTAGTTCAGTGTAAGTCAAAATGGCAGACGAACCGAGTAGATTCGAAAAATATTTGAAGACTTAATGACTTAATAATATTAGGGATGTTTAGCTAGACAGTGATATAATAAAACAAATATTTCACTCTATTTTCGGTGAATACCTGTAGCACTTTCACAAGGTGATATTCCACTTGCCCTTCGGGCTTCGTGGAATATCACTTGTGAAAGATGTACAGGTATTCACCTCAATAGAGTGAAATATTTGTTCAATATCTTGATTTTCAGAATGATCTTCCTTGAAAATGATTATAATTTAAAACAATCAGACAATGAACACTCATAAATATTATATAGTAAGTGTTGTTTCACAAAAAGTTCACAATCCTTCCATGTATTTCATTTCGACTACCTCCGATTAGGTGAGCAGTACCATGCCCGTAGCCAGGGGGGGGGTAGTTTTTGCAAAGGGGAGAGCTTTTTGACAGTTTTGGTAAAAAAACATGCGAATAGTGCTCAGAATGGTGAAAAACTGCATGATTTTGAAAGAATTTCGGAGCGGCTGCTCCCCCTGGCTACAGGCCTGAGTACTATATATCCCTAACTAAACAGGAGTAAAATCTTGAATATGAAATGCAACTTACCACAAGTGGAACCTGTAGAAGAGATGACAGTTCATCTTGATCTTCGACTGATGTCTTTGGATGAACCTGGAATACAAATAGAAAATAAATCAGGGTTCTTACAAACTTTTAAGAATGAAATATCCTGATATTCTAGGGCAAAAATATTGAAATTATCCTATTGTTTTTTGCATGACCTCAAAATATCTATGTATCTTAATTGATAACTTTATAAACAGTCAGGCTATTTTTATCAATGTTAACAACTTTTTTATATCACTGTATCACCAGCAGACTGCAAAACAAGACATTTTCACAAAAAAACAATACTGACTTTCAACCAAAAAAAATATTGATTTGTACTCTTTAACATAGTTAACATTGTTACCTTCAAAATTTCACTTTTTAGACCTTAGAAGATCTTTTCTAATTAAGCTGACCTGAATTTAAATACAAAAATCAATTTTTGACCTTTAAAAGGTCACCGAAGGTCAACCACAGGTCAAATCTCATATAAAAGGTTCTAAATTTGGTCAATTAGAGGCAAGATGAACAATTTATCAAAAGATTCAAAATGGCCACCATGTATTTTAGCCAGCATGCCTTAAACCTAATCAGATCTTGGCACTAGTCTACTCTTGCATCTGTCTAAAGGTACTCACTAGTCCACCCTGATTGCTTATTGCACAGTAGCTGCCTACTAACACTTGTTCTGCTATAGTTTGTCTGAATACTTCAACTTTTAATGTGTCAGCTAAGATCTGTTCTGTCTCCTATAATAAAAAGTATAACATGTATTATAATACAAGTATTAGCTCAAACGTGGGTTGAGATTGACTCATTCCGAGTTTGTTGCATTTATTTCAACCTACTATCAACTTGGTATTTTTTTTATCTAATTATTGTTGAAATTTTGTTTATGATATAAATAAAACTTAATGTGATTCACTGCATCCAAAAGATATACTGAACATGTTTCCACTTCAGAGGGAGCACTTTTTTCCCGAAATCATGTCAAAATATAAACATTCTGTTATCTTACTTTATCAAGATCTGGATGTACCAAGGCTACATAGTCGTTACAAGCTATGACGTTACCAAGGGCTGAAAGTCTCTCCTCAACACGCTGTATTTTTACACTGTCTGGTAGAGAGTTGCGTATGTGTTGTAGTTCTTGATCTGTAGTAGTTGATGGCACTAAGAGACCATTTCTGTTTCCTGAAATTATATATTTTTTCAAATCAAGAATACTTTTGATTTACATATAGGAATATCAATATGGCCCTAAAGTAGTTAAAATGTTGTTGGGCATTTGGTACTCCAGTGATTCTCACCAAGTTAGTAACATAATCTCATATATCATTACAGTAGAAATGGCTGGTGTACAGATGTAGCAAAATATAAAATTGTGGATATTGATATGATTTGAGTTTTAATGGCATTACCTATGTACACACATGTCCTATTATCCTACAGCACACTTACCTACACACATATGTCCTATTATCCTACAGCACACTAACCTGCACACGTGTCATATTATCCAACAGCACACTTACCGACACACATACGTCCTATTATCCTACAGCACACTTACCAACACACAAATACACCCTATTGTCATTCAGCACACTAGCCTACACACATGTATGTCCTATTATCCTACAGCACACTCACCTACACATGTGTCATATTATCCAACAGCACACTAACCTACACACACACGTCCTATTATCCTACAGCACACTTATCGACAGACATACGTCCTACTATCCTACAGCACACTTACCTACACACATACGTCTTATCATCCTACAGCACACTTACCTACACACATATGTTCTATTATCCTACAGCACACTAACCTACACACATACGTCTTATCATCCTACAGCACACTAACCTACACACATACATCTTATCATCCTACAGCACACTTACCTACACACATACGTCCTATTATCCTACAGCCAGCAATCGATGTGTGTATCACTGGAATAGTCTCAGCCAATTCTCCTTCAAATACACTGGAAATATATAAGTACATGACTGTATTTGAAATATATGTAACACAATATTTTATGTGTTCTGGGGATGTTTCTTCTTACTTACAGTAAGAACAAAAGTTTGCATTAGCTACACGCATTAGCAATAGCTGAGATTTGTTGATCAAAATGAAAGAATTTTGGCCACCATCTTGAATGATGCTAACTGCATAAAGAGTCATCCACTATAGAACATGTCAAGAAGCATCAACATACAAGAGGCCATCCTTCATGTCTATGTCAATCTGCAAAAGCTGAATGAAGTCCCAACACAATGTGATCATGATAAGTCAGTAACCTGTAGGCACAGTTGCCCTTTTGCGATGATAACATAACATGCCATTTCTCCTAAAAATGTGTTTATTTAGGTTATCTGAAAAAATATTTCGAGTTAATAGGTGGTTTAATTTTGGCTTATGAATTTCAATTCTTGGTGGCAAAGAGAGGGTGCAGTGTCAAAACTGACCAATCATGTAAGTACATGATTATTGATTGACCCCTATTATTAAAGAAAACACAGAATGAAATCCTGCGCTAAGGGCTGATGTGATCCACCCCAGTAGGGATCCAACCCACGACCACTAGGTTACAAGGCGATTGTTCTACCACTGAACTAAAGGACCAACTGCCTTTTCCTCATCAACATTGCATGATGACATTTTGTTACCAAAAGGAACTATTTCGGTAACCAGAGTAATCGAGTAGATCACAAGTGATACAGCATTGCAGCCATATCTTACGTGCCCAGTTTCCTGGACCCTGTATAAGTTACCTATCTTTCCAGGTTGTCAATCATTCTATTCATGATGTCACGTTAATGAATTTCAAACAGGCCATTCACCCGAAGGAGAAATAGTATTAATTACAGAATACACAGAATGATATCCGCCCTAAGGGCTGATGTAGTTGGAGTACAGTATGCTCTCAAAGAATTTTGATGACAAGATTCACATTGCATCCCAGCACGTCCTTCCATCAGCAAGACAAAGGCAATATAGCACTTTTTCAAAGTTCAATAGTACTCAGGGCTTGCATTAACGGCGTCCCGTACATGTTAAGGACTCAAAAATAATTTGGAGGACGCAAAAATTGAAAATATTTCTGTTTTTGGATGCAAATTTTTTTTAGGTCAAAATCACTTCAAACCCCAGTTACGCCGGTTCAAAATCAAATATTGATTGCCGGTCCAAATGATGATTTTGCTGACACATGAGACAAATCAATTAAGTTTGACATATCAAATGAAAGAATATAAATTGGCCTACCTTGTGAAGGCAAAATCTAAGTATAATAGGCAGATAATCAGCAGTGTTTTACAGAAACACTGAGATAATTATCTTACGATAATCTGGCCACCATTACATTTTTATTGACCTACTCTCAAAACCAAACATCATTGCTTTGAGACTAATGGGTCAGTAGCAAAAAACCGTTATCACTGTCCTGCCAACTTTCAATGGATAAAACAAACACTATAATCAATACAATTTGATCCTCTTGGCATTATCTCACATCATAGTAAGGAAGCACAAAGGGCAACATTTGAAAACAAATAAAATATTACAAGTCAAAAATGCATATCAAACTATTGAATGTTGATCTTTATATTTCATTGAAATTAATAATGTGTCCGAAAGGAATATTGAGTTATTATTTACATCAGAGTGAGGAGGAACAAGGGGCAACATTGAAAAACACAAAGTAATTAAGAAGTCAAAAATGAATTAACAATCAATTATGTATTGATCTGCTTTATTGAGATCAATTGCTCATATACAATGTGCATTAAGTGACAGGAAAATACTGATTTTATCATTTAACATCACAGTGAGAAAGCACATGAGGCGAATGGTCGAAAAAATTTCAGCCTGTTGAAATTGCCAAAAGGCCTCTTGAAAAAATATTTATTGAAACCCCTGCGGTCAATACTACAATGTGTTTACAACGATACCTAACAAAAACAAATAATTATGATCTCTCACCTTTATTTGAATCTTAAATAAGGCTCAACATGTTGAATATTTACAAATAATCATGATTCTCTCGAATTTTTTCGACTTTGTTTATTTTTAGATTTGAAACCATGACACGCAACAGTTTTTCCTATTCAGAAACAAATATTAGGTTATTCATGAAATAAAATGTATTCATTGTCGAATGAACGGACATGCATTTATTCAGTCCGTACTTAACATTTACTTCCGTTTTAAATTCGCGGCAAGAAATCAAAAACTGAAAAATAAGGGACACATTTTTTTTTCAAAGGACACACTTTTTAAAAAAAATTGAGTCCTTGGGACTCACAAATTTTCTAACCTAATGCAAGCGCTGGTACTTTTAAAATATTTTGGTATTCCTGAGATCAGGGGTAACGTCCAGCGAGACTAAATCATTGTAAGATATTTGGCACCCTTATATAGCTAACACTTCACAAGGTATTCGATCATTGCAAAAAAAATGCCTGGAGTATTTGAGAATAAATGGAGGTTTTTCTATAGGCCCTCTATAATAAAAAAAATCGCCGATCTTCACCAGAAGAAACAAAATGTTATATTAAAATGTTCTACAAACCTGTAAAAGTTCTCTGACCCTCCCATTGCGACAAGGCAGTAAGAATTGGTGAGTTTTGCAAATACCCCCACCTCATTATTTCCTTCAAATTGTGTTCTAACCGCCATAGTAACTTTCAAATACTGTTCTTGGTGGAAATGAGCTCTGGAATGAACTTGATTGATGTAACACACCTATGAAACTGCTTGAATTACTTAATAAATGAACTAAATGTACAAATTTTCAAAATATTGCGAAACGTGTTCGCAATGTGATGTGAACTACGTCATCAAAACGTGTGTAGATTGAGATATAAAAATGAACAAGTTTTAGCTATCACGAAATCCACAATCAGCAAGTCACAGTTTTCCATTTTAAGAATCATTGATTTATGGATCAATAACTTTTGTGATTTTTTGAAAAAATGAATCAGAGCTTAACATCTTTGAATATCCAGAGAGTCTAAGTCAACCCCTTCCTATCTAAGGGTGAGTGGGGGGGGGGTTGTCGCTGATACTTATCTTAGATCTGTTCAAATGGAAATGCCCAATTAAACCAGGCAGCCAATCAGGTTCATGATAAACAAATTCAACGACCAATCAGATAACAGGAGGACTTTTCTGGTATATTTCAACTTCAGATTGAATTAATTTCTTAGAAAATAATTAGATCGGCCAAGGGCGTTACAATACCCGGGAATTTATCGGTTCGTCCAGTACTTGTTTGTGATAGCGCCCTCTGTAGGTCACTGTGCTTATAGCCTACAGTAATACGGGGTGGGATATCGGGAATTCGGTCAGTTTCTATACGTCGATTTCGCTATGAATTGAAGCAAGTGTGACCACTTTATCCACTTAAACAATTTGATAATTGATTAAATCTTTAAACAAAATCGATAAACACGTTATACACTTCCTATCTCCTTAGAAATTAGCATGTATTTATGGATTGTGTTTTCGAACAAGGCTCGACCCACCCCAATAGGGAAATCCTTATGCTAATTAGTATGACGTCATATTTTCCTGGGGAATCCTAGATTTCAAGGCCTCAGTCTGTTATTGTGTCAAATGTAAACGCTCTTGGGACGCTCTTTTGCAGACAGAAAATTGACAGATTAGCTTTTAACTTTCAGCTTTGATGTTTAAATATTCTGTATTTCTACCGGACTTCTTGCTGAATATCATATAATGTTATAACTTGATTTGGATCATTGCCTGATTGATCATTCTGAAATTTTGATTGTGATTCATGATTGATTGGCAAGAAAAATAATTCCTATTGTTTTCCAGCGAAGTCAAAATGTTACAGCATGAGTTATAATGTCGAGTTTGCATCATGTTAAATTCTGCTAGTGATTAGAAGTCCATGCACAAGCATACACATAAGAGACAAACACACCCAGGCTCCAGGCCGTGGATGGAAATATAAAACTATTTAAGGCACAAACTGGTATTAATAGACCGATATGTAGTGTCTGCCATGTATTGAAGGTAAACCAATCTGTATTATTAATGTTTCTTCTATCAATACATGGGTTGTGCAATAGAAAAGCAATGGCACAATCAAAAATGTGCATATCAATCGTGAATATCTCTCGGTTCAAAGCTTATTTCCAACAGAATCGTGTCAAAATATGTGTCTGAGTAACAGTTATACATTATAAGATCGCAAACTCTTACCAATTATCAGCCGAATGGCTCATTTTCAACGAAATGTCCTTAAGACAACAGCCCTGGGTCGCGCCTGAGACCAAAAACTACTTCAAATAGCCCTCCCCTAATTATATTGGATAATCACATTTATGCGTGCGCGCGCAGCTCATCCAATGAACGAAACGCCACTTCCCGCTGAAATCACCGGGTATTGATCTTTCCCTTGGATCGGCCAGCACAATCGCAAAATTAAGACTGAAAGAGGGAGATTTGGGACTTCAGTCTTTCGGCTTGGTAAGAAGATTGGTGAATATGTGGTGAACTCAATATGCAAAAAGTCCAGAGGGGTCTAACCCGTCTTGATTACACGGACATCAAGTACGTTTCTGGCGAAAGCCGGAGCATAGATTATTTACTCCGGCTTTCAAACGTACTTGACGTCCGTGCTTGATTGTGCTATCCTATAGCATAGGGCCTCTTTAATGATGAATAAAACACTAAGTTTATAGGGTTTGTAGAAAAACCGGGTCCCGGGTAGTATAAATCCTATATGCTGCTGGGTTCAAACTTGGTATATTTTCATTGGTTATGGGGGGGGGGGGGGCGTGCGATCGCACCATCGAACCCCCTCCTGGCTACGTCTATGGCATTATGTTTATACAAAAGGAGGTGAAAACAACAGTTTTACTTATAATACATATTTATATTTATTCTATTCATCTGATATAATTTACATTTATACACAATAGTGGAGTATACAGATATCACAATTTTGGACTAACTACTACCACTTACATGCAGTCTCGCATCAAGCCCTCGTGTACCACAATTATCCAAACTAACACACATGGAAGCGAAATTAGTCATAGAGGAAGAGACTGCAGGCTTATGCAAGACTACAAGATTTGTTTAAAATAGACTACTTATATGTATTTAGATTATTATCATGCATTTTTGATAAATCTCATTTTCTGTTCATCTGTTTGTTTATAATTAGGTGAGTTCATGCTTCAATGCAATCAGCATCATTATGTCTCACATTTTCTCAAATAAAAATCCCATTATTCTTTTTTGTATAAACATGAGAAAATCTCTATTAATATTTTGCAACATTAACTGAACACTGTAAACAGAATAATTTTGGCCCTGTTTAATTTGGCAAATTTGTTATTGTGACAACTGGTAAAACTGAATCTTGATTCTAAAACATTCTAAAATAGTTCATGAAAAATGCAAAATTAAATAAATTGCACAAGATTACTCTTTGACTTCAAATTATGTGTGTGACTGATGACAAAAAAGTCAAACTGTCAAATTAAAAGCAGGCATCAAACTAGAACTGGTTACAGTAAATCTCGATGCAGGTGATCCTATATTTTAATACTAAACTATCACATCCACTGTCTTATTCTGATCATTGAAAAACTCAGTATTTCAGAAATCAAATGATATAGTATTAAAACATCTACATATAAAACATTAATGCTATATGTAATGTTGACTAATCTGTCTGTTATATGAATCTTTGATAAGGCTTTGTACATAATACATAACCCACACTGTTATACCTCTAAATTGAGTTATATCTATGTTGTATTCTAGACTGAGCTGGTAGGTTATGAAAAATGAATAATAACCAGATTGTATAATTTTACCAAGCACCCATAATGCCCCTTCCCATTCCCTTTTTAAACAGACTTGGAAATAGATACCACCCCTTGATCTATTTAAATAACCAAACAGGGTGTTCTTGATCAATGTCTTTTAGGACCATCTCAAAAATGCTTTTTCCAACTCAAAACTGCAAACCCTAATTCTAAGAAAACATATATTTTCCCCCAAACAAAAATGCATATAATCACTCCCATCAACATAATTGTCTTCATATTTGCCATTCAATTAATTACGTTTGAATACAATCCCTGAATGATAAGATGTCATAGTTGGGAAAGCAGAGTGCATTTTGCACAACAAACAAGCAATGTCATGCTACAAAACACTGTCTTTGGTAATCTAATTTTGGCATAATATCTGCGAAGCCATACAAATTTACATTTCACAACTTAAAATCAATCATATAGTTTACTATTTATAGCTTTGGAGGATCTACTCGACTATGAACTACATAGCTTCCATCCTTCGATCACAGTGCTTCAAGATCTAGAATAGCTTCTTTCTTTCTGTAGTTCTGTAGCCCTGTGTTACAGTGTTTGGTGGAGGATGCAAAATGACTGATGTACATTAGAGACACATATAAAGAACACTGTCTCTGTTTCTTGAAACACAGTACCTGATGTACATTTTCTGATTGGTTATTTTAGAAAAACAAGTTTCTAAGCTATGTTATCTATAATGTCAATTATAGGTTTCAATGATTTTTATGGCCTTTGATTAAATTATGTCTCATGATAGAGAGCTTTCCTTTAAAGGTTAATTTGATAATTTACAAACAATAACAGACATTACATGCTGTTTACAACATTAAGTACTTTACATTAACTTAAAGAATATAATCTTAGACTTCTAAGCAAACTCGAGATCATTAAATCACAACACATCAGCATTACCCTTGCAAAAAATATCATCATGATCTTATTTTCCTTTACAAAGGTTTAATTTAGACTCAAATGGTCACCAAGAGATAACGCTGAAAACTATTAAAGTAAAAACGTATTATCTTTACTTAATTGGAAAATGTAATGGGGAAAGGTGAATTAATGTTATCATTTGGTATTTTATGCACAGGTAATTTTTGCAATTTGATATTTTACAATTAGGTAGGTATATACCTGTAATTTTACAACCACATTCAAAATTGATGCTAGTTAATATGCTATATGATATTTTCTAAATGATGAATAATAGAGTTTGGTTGTCATATACAGTAAAACTTGAGTCATGAATGATTTCAAGGTTTTTGCATTCAGAAACCTGAATGACATGGAAGTATTTTAATAAAATGAAGTATAATATGTAAAAGGTGTGATCATTAAGTCCTCATAATCTCATTAATTTTCTATTTTTCAAAATATTCTGATTTTTTACAGATTTTGTAACATACATTGACTTATTAATAGCTAGAACAACAGATATACATGTATATTTAATGATAAATGATTGCAATTATTATACAAATTCGATGCATATTATGAGAACTTTTTGATCACCCCTTGTATTTCACTTCAAGTGTAGCATCACCACCAACAGAGACATACTAAGTGTTCAAAATATTAAGCAAATATTTCATTCTATGTTCGGGCAATACCTGTTCATCTTTCAATGATTTTTGCAGCATGTATTGCCCGCAGCCCGAAGGGCGAGGGAAATACATGCTGCAAAAATCATTGAAAGATGAACAGGTATTGCCCGAACATAGAATGAAATATTTGTTTTATTATATCATTGCTAGACATTCGCTACGACCAATAGCCTAAATGCATTTCAAATAATAAATAATAGATCTATTTGTTTTAACCTGTGAACATTTATTTTTAATAAATGAACATGTTTAACATAAGCCGTCTTCGATCTGGTGAATTCAGAGTCGACTCGTTGATGAGATTTATATCATTGCGTAGACTTTGTATGTGCCTATTGAGTCCATGACGAATACTTTGCAGACTGGCACTCGTAATATTCCCCATC